GAGCATGGGATATTCTTCCATTTGTTGAGGTCACTCTTGGTTTCTTGTAATAGTGTTCTGTAGTTTTCCTCATACAAATCTTTTGTGTTTTTTTTAGTCAGGCATATCCCTAGATATTTCAATTTGTGCTTAGCTATTGTAAAGGGCACTACCATTTTAATGGCCTTTTCAGTTATCTTGTCTGATGTGTATAGCAGTCTGATAGACTTATGTTTGTTTATCTTTTATTGTGCCACTCTGCCATATTCCTCTATTGCTTCCAACACTTCACTTGTGGAGTTTTGAGGCTTTTCAATATATAAAATCATATCATCTGTGAATAATGATAGTTTCGTCTTCTCCTTCCCAAGACAAATACCTTTGATGTGTTTTCTTTGTCTTATGTTGTTTGCTAGGACTTCGAGAACAATGCTAAATAGGAGTGAGGACAAGGGGCATCCTTGTCTGGTTCCCTTTTTGAATGGAATTGTTTGTGTCTTTTCTCCATTGATTACCACATTGGATGTTGGTTTTTCATAGATAGCTTTTATAATACTGAGGAATTTTCCTTCGATTCCTATAGTTTTGAGTTTCTTAAACAGGAAAGAGTGTTGGATGTTGTCGAATGTTTTTCCCACATTTATTGATATTATCATGTGTTTCCTATAATTTTTCATGTCAATGTGGTGAATAATACTAATGGTCTTTCATATGTTGAACCATCCCTGCACTCCTGGTACGAATCCCTGTTGGTTATTGTGAATGACCAACTTATTTTATATGTTATTGTATTCTATTGCCAGTATTTTGCTAAGGATTTTTGCATTGATGGTCATTAGGAATATTGGTCTGTAGTTCTCAATTCTTTTGGGATCCTTGCCCACTTTAGGTAGCAGAGTTATACAAACTTCATAGAAAGAGTTTGGGAGTTTTCCGTCTTTTTCTATGTTCTAGAAAAATTTGTTTAGGATTGGTGCCAGTTCTTCCCTGAATTCTTGGTAGCATTTTCCTGTGAAGCCATCTGGACTGGGTATTTTTTGTTTTGTTTGTAATCTTTGATATCTTTGTCTATTTCTTCTATTGCTTTGGTTCTCTTGAGATTCTTGATGTACATCTGGGATAGTTTAGGGAGGGATTGTTTTTCCAAGTATTTGTCCATGTCTTCCAAGTTGTTGAATTGCTTAGTGTACAGGGATTCATAGTACTGTGTAATTATCTTTTTGATTTCATTAGGGTCCGTTGTAATGTCCCCTGTTTCATCCCTCACCCTTGCTATTAAAATTCGTTTCTTCCTTTCTTTGGTTAGGCTGGCCAGCTGTGTATTAATTCTGTTAATCCTTTCAAAGAACCAACTTTTAGCTGCATTATTTTTTGCCATAGTTTTCTTGTTTTCCCTCTTCTGTATCTCAGTGCTGATTTTTATTATTTCTTTCCTTTTGCTATTAGTAGGATTGTCCTGTTGACTCTGCTCTAATGGGTGTAAGTTTTGTGCTAGCATATCAAACATAAGTCTCTTCATTTTTCACGTGTGCATGTATTGCTAGCAAACTTTCCCTCATAAGTGCCTTTTCTGTGTCTCAAAGTTTTTGTACGTCATATTTTCATTCTCATTGATTTCTAAAAGCTTCCTGGTTTCATCTCTGATCTTGGCCAATACCCACTCGTTTTGCAAAGGGAGATAGCCATCTTTGAATTGTTTGCCCTTGTTTTCTTCATCATCCTTTTGTTGACTTCCTGCTTTCTGGCATAGTGGTCGTAGAGCGAAGTCTGTATAATCTCTCTGTGCTTTAATTTACTCAGGTTCATCTTGTGTCCCATCATATGATCTATCT